TACATTTATCTATTGTCACTGATCATATAAACAGTAACAAGTAATTTTAATCTCTTTCTGTCTTTTCTCTCCTTCCATTATGCATTTTCCTTTGACCATTTCTGCGACTTCATATAATATCACTAATCATGTAGATAGTAACATCCATTTTCACCACCCAACATCATAAATTCATCTCTAACTGCCTTACAATAATAACCAAATTCGTTTTCCATCATCATTTAACCAAAAACACGACCTTAAATCTTCTTTAAATATGATTCAACATACACTTTAAAGAATCTTTTTACATTACATTGCACACTTTTCTTACTTTGATATCAAAATTATCATCTACACTTCCATATAACCCTTATCGTATCTGATCTTTTAATTAAATTCCTTTCATTTCTTTACTCCATTACTCCTTTATTTATTCCTTATACCCCAAATCATATATTTCCTTTCATGTTCACATTTCTATTTGAATATGTGCTAAGTGAATGTGTTTTATGTGAATGAACAATACTTTGAAATAATTATATTTTAAAGCCCAAAGTATATGTATGAGAATTAGAGGTATAGTTGGAATGCCAAAGTTGAGGGTTCTATGCGGTCCTTTGGGACAAATTCTATGTGGTCATTAGGAACAAATTCTACGAGGTCCTTCAGGAAAAATCTACGTGGCACTTCGGTGCAAATTCTATGTGGCAGTGGTGACTGCAATTATAGCGCAAAACCTCATTGTATTCACATACCTTGAGTTCTCAGTGATATACGTTAGGCTAATTAAATAAATTGATGTGGATTGAAAAGAGTAAAATTATATATGTAGTTTTTATAAATGTAAATTGATTACGAATTAAACAGTGCCTAAAAGTCTATTTATTTATATGAAACGTAAATTGATTTTCGTATTAATTATTTTCTCTGAAATGTTTAAATAAATATTTTATTGTTTTATTATACTCATTATGTCTTACTAAGTCAAAGAGTTAGCGTGTGGTTGTTTTCACACGTAGGTTCAGAGGAGTAAGCAGAGTAAGCAAGGCATAACAACATATCTTTGAAGAGTATCATATCAGAGAAATTTAAATCGTATGTGATGTTGTTATTGGAATTTTTTGTTGGCATGTACCATAAATGTTTAAAGTGTAGATGCTCTGATATGTATTTTAACTATGTTTTTTAAGTTTTGCTTTCCTTGTAAAATTTTAATCGTATTTTAAAAGAGTCAAAGCTTTTGAAAAGTCAATGTGACACCTCAGATTCGTATCCAAGTCGGGTACGGGTCGGGGGTGTTACAATCTCTGAATAAATAACTTCTAAATTTATTTTCTTAAGATTAAGAGCTATCACGATTCAAAGTCCTTCTTCTCTTAATTCAATCCTAGAACAAATTTTAAACATGTCATACACATATATGACTTTATTATTACCTTTAGTGGCTGCTTTCTTTTAACAATGTAGTCCAAACTTTGGGTTCTTTCCACTAAAATAATAAAAAATATATGTTCTGTATAACGCTTCAAGATTATTAGTAGCTTTGTATCTTTTTTGAAAACTTATTTGGGTTTGAGTCCATGGAATGATATCAATATTCTTCATTGAAGTGTTGAGATACATGTAGTTGTTCTTCGAAGCTTCATGAAAAGTCTTGCAATTCAATCGAGTATTAAGGAACTCGATGATAAAATTAGACGTCGCACGCATAAAATTTCAATAACAATTCATTTGGGATTGATTCCACAATACTACAACATATTTTTTATCAGTATTTTGAAAGAGATTATTACTACAAACCTTAAACCTAAACCCAAATTTATAATAGTCCTGACACCCTTTCCGAAACAACATTTCATTGGGACCTCACGTTTTTTAATTGAGGCTTTAGAAATGATTTAAATTTTTTGTATTCATTGTATCCATTCTTTCGTCCTGCCCAATATCCCAAGTGACGATTACCCACCAAAAACCAAACTTTTCCACAAATACCATAGCATAACATAACTACTATATTAATAAAAAAAGTATCAAATATAATAACATATGTATCGATATTTTAATTATCGATCATATTCATCAACTTGATCAATGTCTAAAAGTATCGATCATCATCGAAAAAGTATGGATATTTTGAGTTTTGATATTTTTATCAACGTTTTCAATTTTTAAAAGTATCCATCATTATCGCATAAGTATCGATATCTTAACTTTCGATCTTATCTTCAACTTTTTCGATATTTAAAAGTATCGATACTATTATATTATATCGATATTTAAAATTTTGATTTTACTTTTTGCGTGCAACCGTATTTCTTATATATATTTATAATATTTTAAGCTTTTAACTTATTTTCTTTTAATTTTTAAAAGTATCGATCATTATCACTTGTGTATCGATATTCTCACTTTCAATATTATCTTTAATTTTTCAAATTTATAGTATCAATATTAAAATTCTATATTGCTCAAACTCAAAAAAAACTTTATAAAATATACATTTTTACTACTAAAATTATGTGATGAATTCATTTCTTTTATAATTTTAAACAATGTACTCATATTTATAAAAAAATATTTTAAATACATATAAATTTAATTATTTAGTTTTTATCTTTTGTCCAATTTTCCCGAAAAATCACCCTTGTCCCCTTTATTTTCCTCTCAGGCACCGTTTAGACTATATTTCCCGATCTAACACCCTTTGTAGAAAGGCACACCACTTGCACCGCGCTTTACGCCACATGGGGTAAGCCGCATCCTCTGCAACGTGCCTTGTTAAACATGTAAAAAACACGGGTACTAATTTTGTAAATATTTTTAAAATAGTGCATAATATGTAATTAATTTATGTTAGGGTGATATTTGTGTAAAAACGCCAACTTTATCTATTTATTTTTTTGATATTATTTTTAACAAAAGTTAATAATATTTATCGACTTTTAAAATTAATTGTTTAAAAATATTAAAATAAACTTTTAATTACAATTAAGAGATCAAATGAATTATTATTCATTTTTTAAAAATAAATAAAAATGCAATAAAAAATTAAAAATGAAAAAAATTCAATAAAAATATAATGTAAAGCTAAAAAATATCACCTCTTTATTTAAAATATTCTTTCTAATATTAATTTTAAAAATATAAAATAAATATTACATTTTAATTTTATTAAAAATGAATAAACATTATTAACTGTTATTAAAAAATAATAATCAATGAATAATAATTCATTTGATCCCTTAATTATAATTAAAAGTTTATTTTAATCAAGTTTATGATTGTTAAACAGTCGTAGGTGTGGAAAGCTATAGGAATCGAATGAAAATTCGATCGTACAAAGTCAATAACTCAAAATTGTCTAACTGTTGTCTAAATATCAACTCAATTGTACCACGAATAAACATCCGATCGAAGAGTTGATCTTTTATGCTCAATCTTCACAAAATTGTTTTCTCTCATCATTTTCTCCTACGTATGAACTCCTTTCTTTTTCAATTCTTCTCTGTTGAATATAGTTGCCCACGGGCACATAGAAAAATCAAAAGTAGAGTGACTTTTATTGCAAAAGTCAATTTTAATTAAAAGCTTATTTTATATTTTTATATTTTAAAACAATTAAATGATGAGAGAAAATAGTTTTTGTGAAGATTGAGCAGAAAAGATCAACTCTTTGATCGGATGTTTATTCGTGGTACAATTGAGTTGATATTTAGACAGCAGTTAGACAATTTTGAGTTATTGACTTTGTACGATTGAATTTTCATTCTATCCCTGTAACTTTCCACACATACGACTGTTTAACAATCATAAACTTGACTTTAGGTCTTAAGAATAGAGTATTTTAAAATTAATTGTTTAAAAATATAAAAAAAATATTAAAATAAACTTTTAATTACAATTGAGGGATCAAATGAATTATTATTCATTAATTATTATTTTTTAATAACAGTTAATAATGTTTATTCATTTTTAATAAAATTAAAATTTAATATTTATTTTATATTTTTTAAAATTAGTATTAGAAAGAATATTTTAAATAAAGATGTGATATTTTTTAGCTTTATATTATATTTTTACTGAATTTTATTCGTTTTTATTGTATTTTTATTTATTTTTAAAAAAATAAATAATAATTATTTGATCTCTCAATTGTAATTAAAAATTTATTTTAATATTTTAATATTTTTAAACAATTAATTTTAAAAGTCAATAATAGTTAAAAATACAACAACAAATTAAGAAATATAGTCTAAACTGTGTTTGACAGAGAAATAAAGGGACTAGGGTGATTTTTCGGAAAATCACCATGATTTGCTAGAATGTTTAAAATTATGAGGTATGGGTCTTTTCCACTTTTCAAGTCTTTAAGGAAGAGGGTTAGCAGAAGGGGGATTCAGATTCAAGGTTGGCCCACCCGAAGAATCCAAAATGAATCAGAGCCACCAACTGCCCAATCAAACCAAAATCAGGTCTCGCCTTAAATTCATTCCGCACCGTTGATAGTTCGCCAAATATTATGTGTCTTAACCCAACAGAAGGTGGCATTATCTGCCGTCCTACCGCCCCTAAATACCCGACACCTGTCCCCCCGCTGTTTCCCTTTGCCTGCCGCTTGTGTGGACGTTGAAGTTGCCTTGCAAACAAAAACAAAATCCTCTATCTTTTGTTCTAAGCCGAAAGGACCGAACACGTGAATTTTCATTTTTTTCTGGACACGTGTCTACTTATCATTTGATATCCTCTTTTTTAGTGCTTTACTCCATAAACGCGTTCACGCTATTTAGTTAATCCAACCGTCCATTCTCACGTGCGTCCAGAGATCGTAGCCGTTGCCTCCTAGATCGCCTTAACTTAAGCCACGTATCAGAAAGAACACGTGTCCAGAAAATAACGGATTTTTGGATTAATCAAACATTTTAATTTCGTTTTTCTATAAATACTCCATCTCACCTCGTCTTTCAATCTCAGCTCTCATTCAAAAACATCGACAAATTTTAAGAAAAACGCACAAAAGAGTAAAATTTATATCGTTTTCAATTGGAAAAAATGGCGTTGAATTTGGCACACCAGATTGGGGCTCTTTCCGGGACACAGATAGCGGCGGAATTCACCACCGGAGAACAATCATCGTCGGCGCCGGCGAATGTGTCTGGAGTCCGGAAACTTCCATTGGCGAATCTCCGGTGCAAGTCCCCTGTGGAGACCGTATCCCCTCCTATGTTAACTCCACCGCTGACACCGCGTAGCGCGGCGAACAGGTCGGGTATGATGAGTCCGATGCTGCGTGCGGATCTTTCCTCCGCCTGCCAGGCGTACGGGACGTTAGCTCCTCTGGAGACGGCGGAGGAGGAGTCTCCGGCGGTGGCGTGGAAGCGGGGAGGTAAGAAAGAGGAGAAGGGAGGGGTTCCGGTTTACGTGATGATGCCGTTGGATAGCGTGACGTACGGGAACACGGTGAATAGGAAGAAGGCGATGAATGCGAGCCTACAGGCGCTGAAGAGCGCAGGGGTGGAGGGGATAATGATCGACGTTTGGTGGGGACTGGTGGAGAGGGAAGAGCGGGGTGCTTACAATTGGGGTGGCTACGCCGAGCTTCTCGAGATGGCCAAGAAACACGGCCTTAAGGTCCAGGCTGTCATGTCGTTCCATCAGTGCGGCGGCAACGTCGGTGACTCTTGCACGTAAGCTCTCTTTTCGTTGTTCAACATTTTTTTAGTAGGACCATCACATGGGCTTATGAAATCTAGATTCTAAAATGGTAGTATAATTTAATTGCTTATCTTGGGAATCGGATGAATTTTTGGAGATCAAGATTCAATAATAAAAAGATTACACGTTTGGTTGATTATTGATTACAAAGCAATCATTTGCTTATTTTGTGAGTTTGAAAGTGACAATCAGAATTGATGAGTGATAACGTAAGCTTCCATTGCATCTTTTGACGGAAAAATGGATCAAAAAGGAATTAAAATCGAATCTTATAATCTTTTAAATATACCAAGAAAGTTCATGAATCAGACACAAACTTTCTTAGGAATGATTAGATCAGTATGAATTAAATGTTATTATTTGTGGTCATGGAGCCTTATTTTGAAAATAAAGAAAAGATGGTTGTTTTTGTACAGAATTCCTTTGCCCAAGTGGGTTACAGAGGAGATGGACAAAGACCCAGACCTTGCATATACTGATCAATGGGGAAGAAGGAATTATGAATACGTTTCACTTGGTTGCGATATCCTTCCTGCCTTAGAAGGCCGTACGCCTGTTCAATGTTATGCTGATTTCATGCGTTCCTTTAGGGACAATTTCAAACATCTCCTTGGTGATACCATTGTGGTAAATTTTCGAATTTACAACTAATAATTCATTCTTTCTTCTTCCTTTTGTAAGGAATCAGCTGCTAAGGAATTACCAATGTTTTTCATTGCAGGAAATCCAAGTCGGAATGGGTCCGGCAGGTGAGCTTCGGTATCCTTCCTACCCCGAAGCAAATGGGACATGGAAGTTCCCTGGAATTGGAGCCTTCCAATGTTATGATAAGGTACTTGAAATTGCAGTGTTCTCTCTTGTTCCTAGTTTTAGTGTGCTTTTTCGTGTTCATGTAGACTGATTTCGATGTTATTTGATGCAGTACATGCTTAGCAGCCTAAAGGCTGCAGCCGAAGCGGCTGGTAAGCCGGAATGGGGAAGCACCGGGCCAACCGATGCTGGTCACTACAACAATTGGCCAGAAGATACACCATTTTTCAAGAAAGATGGTGGTGGTTGGAATAGTGAGTATGGTGAATTCTTCCTTTCCTGGTATTCTCAGATGCTGTTGGAACACGGTGAGAGGATACTTTCGTCAGCGACATCGGTTTTCGATGGTGAAACTGTGAAGATCTCTGTGAAAATAGCTGGAATCCACTGGCATTATGGAACCCGATCCCATGCTCCCGAACTCACTGCAGGGTACTATAACACAAGGTACCGAGACGGTTACCTCCCGATCGCTCAAATGCTAGCACGCCATGGTGCCGTTTTCAACTTCACTTGCATAGAGATGCGTGATCATGAGCAGCCTCAAGATGCGCTATGTGCACCCGAGAAGCTGGTCAAGCAAGTAGCTTTAGCTACTTCAGCAGCGCAAGTTCCACTGGCCGGGGAGAATGCACTTCCCCGCTATGACGAATACGCACACGAGCAGATCTTACAAGCATCGTCATTGGATGTCGATGGCTCTCCGGTCGATAAAGAGATGTGTGCATTTACATACTTGAGGATGAACCCATCGCTGTTTCATCCGGAAAACTGGAGACGGTTTGTAGGGTTCGTGAAGAAGATGAATGAGGGGAAAGGTGCTCGTCGGTGTTGGGAGGAGGTGGAGCGGGAAGCTGAACAATTCGTGCATGTGACACAGCCTTTCATCCAGGAGGCCGCTGTTGCCCTTATGCACTAGCACAGGGGTCTTGTACTGTAGGGCGGTGGTAGCTTAGTATAAAGTTTGGATCAATAACAGTGCCACATATGCCTTCCTTTTTCACTCATTTTTTTTCTTTTCCAACGGAAAAATGCATGTTGTGTAATTTAGTATTCCGATTTTACTTTGTACCACATAGTTGAAGCTCTTTCATCTTCCACGACAGCATAATTTATAAATATATTAGATAATTTATTTGCCTTCCCTTATCCAAATATCAAATTAGGCTTACTCTTCCGAATGTAAAATATCTTTTTCAAAGTATCAAATCAAATTCTTTTAAAATAGTTTGGGAATATTACCAAATAATATAAATTTAAAATTTTATAATTATTGTTACACATTATGATGTTATTATTCGAACTTCTTGATGGTTTCTACCCAATTAAAATTAATGACACGCAAATTATGGGTTTTTCATTAAATATAATCCTTGAAAAGGATGTTAGAGATCTAGAAGTAGATTGAATCATTTGGACGGTAGGCAAAAGAACACTTTCAAGCTAAATTTATTGACGACCTTAATAAAAAATAATATTATTAAAAAAATTCTAAATAAATTTTATCTTATAGTTATCTTAAATTAATAAAAAAAAACTTTCGAGCCCATGTTATTCCTTATGATTATAAGGAAATGAAGATATAGATATGGCTATACAGACGCATTTGTTTCTTTAAAATATTTGAATTATATTAATTATTGACTAGTTTAACAAAATAATTAATTTTTTATATAGTGTTTAAAATTTAAATTTTAACATTATAAATAATAAATAAAATGTTTAAGATTTAAAATTTGATATTATAAATTAAATCAATAAAATTAAAAATTATTTCTATATTGAATTCATAGAAATGTTTACAATATCTAAACTGATTAATAATTTCAGCCACATAGAGCCACATAGCTCTATGGTGCGACATGTAATGTTTATGACAAATTTTTGTCTAAACTGATGAGATATTCAGAGATCTTTATGAGAGTGCTACTTCAGCAGTTACACACAATAAATTTTGTTTTATGTTTAAGGGTCGACTTTTCGAATTTCAGAAGAGAATAAATTCAACAATGCCTCATCGTTTCTTTGAAATTATTTCAGAATAGATGGTCACGGATCACCCTTGGGAACTTAACTTGCGGCCAATATCTTTGGACTGGTTAATTTGGCCTAGGTTATCGTGTATGCTCGCTTCTCTTTTTGAAGACGTCCTTGGTAAAATGGATGATCGTTAGCGTTTCGGTCCATTTCCTCGCGTCCCAATAGATATTATTTGTAATCATCTACAATGCAAAGAGAATCGACACAAGGGATAATAAAGGCATTAAGGCGGTTAAAAAAACTTAACCGATGACAGTTATAATCATTCAAAGAGGTTACTTTAAAATTTTACTGGCCTCTCCATTCACCAATATGGAGTTGTGCTATCCGCTCCACTCACGATTGAGATTTCTTTGGCATTGACGGTCTTGATCCACCTGATTGACTGTTTAATTTTGAGACCAAATTTGTTAGCAGCTCTTACAAACATGACAAGATATGTTGTTCTCATGTCGATTAGGGCACTTCTGAGATGCCCCCCAATATGGATGTCCACGTACATCAATCCTTTTTGCTTTGGACACTTTCTTGACATGACAGAATTGAGAATCCTCGACCCAAGCTTTGTAGTCGTACTATTCTTGGGATTGCTCCTCCTTTGTGGCAGTTTAATTTGATTTGGGCACTCTTGCCTTTTACATTGCTCCTTGTGTTGATAGTACTTGGATTGATTCTAGGCTTGATGGTCTTAACCATCCTAATCGCATTGAGTTTTGTCTCTTCCCCTCCTTATTGTCATTTTCCATCTCTTATTAGTTAGGTTTGGTTTCATTATTCATATCCCAGGACTCCTTTGCCATCACTTGATTGTATTTTCTCATCTTCCTCACAAGTACCCTTGTTTTTTGGAACTAGAAATCTTGACCCTGCTCGATTTATCCCTAACAAACTTAAACAATGACTCGACAATTGACATGGCTTCAGAAAGCTCCAATGACTCAACAAGAGTTGGGGTGTTGAAAATTAATGTTTAGGACAAATTTGCGTCCAAACTGATGAGATACTCAGATCTTTCTGAAAGTTCCACTTCCTATACGATGACAAGATATATGTTTTCCATTCTCCTGATTTCTTGTCCCACGATTTTTGAATATATTCTAAGTATCTCATAATATTGGTTATTTTAAAACTCAAAATTCGATGCGTCTATTGTCGATAATAGATGTTTCCAGGGTATCTCAATTCAGAAAACAGGTGGGTGGAGTCCTCCCCCGAGGGACTGGTGTAAGATGAATTTGGACGGTACTAGGAACAAAGAAACCGGACTAGCTTCTTGTGGGGGAGTTATAAGGAACTCCAATGGTAGTTGGATGCATGGTTTCTCTAATTTTATGGGTATCTATTCAATTGCTGAAGCCGAGTTGTGGGGTATTCTGGTTGGTCTGAGTTGTGCCTGGGAGATGGGCTTGTCTCAGGTGATCATTGAATGTGATAGTTTGGATGCTATTCGACTAGGGCATCAGTATAAAGTGGGTCATCATCAGTATAAAGTGGATGCTATTCGACTAGGGCATCAGTTATTATGTTATGTTTCTTAACCACAAAGTTTAAACCTTTCGCTTGGCACTATTGTGTTCCGAACTAGGGTTAATTTACCCGTATATAATTGTTGATACAAATCAGACTACAATCATAACATAGTGTAGGTGAGTATTGTCTTTAATTATTTAAAAAATATGTATTAGTCAGTAATCTTTTAAGTAGATAGTTAAAAATCTCTGAGATGACATTTTTTTAAGGTTGTAGGTTCAATATTTAATAGGATTAAAAAAATTTCCTCTCCTCTAAATAAGAATTGTTAGAAAAATATGTATATCAAAGAGATTACATTTAGAAATTTTAAATTTTAATATTTAATCAATATGATATTTATATTAACAGATCTCATATTAATTTTTTCCAAGTTCTTAAATATAATATTTTAACATCGAGTCATTGAGTAATTGACGATACTATTCAATCACGAACGTCATCACCGTCACCCAACTCATACTTGTGTTCATACTCAATTAACCCATATCTTTGACGCATACCACACATATTTTTTTTAAAAAGATTCGTTTAATATTTTCTTTTATTATTTTAACTAGGGGTGTTCGCGGTCGGTTTGGATCGGTTTTTGGCTAAAAATTCATCGATCCGAAAGTATAAATTTTTGCGGTTTGGATCGGTTTGGATGTTTCTAAAAAAAATCCGATCTGATCCGATCCAATTAAGTGCGGTTTGATTCGGTTTGGATTTGTGCGGTTTTTGGATTCTAATTTTTCAAAAACAGTTTCACCATTTCACATCCTAAGCTAAAGTCGATCGAATAAATACCGTTGATGAACATAAAAGTAACAGTAACACTATCAGCTCCCAATAACCAACCAGTTTGGGATATTGCGTCTTTGCATTACAAACGATAACAACCTGATAAAAATATCTAAAGAAATCTTACAGCGCCAGACAACCCTGTAATGATGGCAGCAAGGATAATTCCACAAATTTCTGTTCTCTTTACCGATGCAATAACAAGGCAAATTAATCTCAGGCCTTTATTTACAGACATGTTTGAAACCACAGCCAGTCCATGATGGACTGTCCATAATGGTTAACTCTCCCTGGAGTTTTAATGTGTTGTAAGGTTTAGTTAAATTTAAGGCATCTTACCTGTGGAGCTAAAGACAGGAACTTGTATGTATCCAGAGCATACCGGACCAATGCTTCATTCTCACCAGGATTGATTGTACACCTAAACATAACATGATGTGAAAATTATTCAAGACTAAAACAACAAAAATCAGTTTAAATCTTCCATCACTTGATAAAAAAAACAAATGAACAAGTGAAGTATGATAACACTAGAAGCACAAACTACGAATCTCAAAAACATCATCTAACCTTAGAAGTTAGGTTCACAAAATAAGGATCCAGTAAATAACAATAATTACCTCAAAATTTTATTAGAAAGCACACTCAGCCAATCAGAAATGCATAATGCAAGCAACATAAAACATTTATAGTCCTATTATGAGAAGAGTAGATTGATAAATTATGAAAGCAAAAATATAAAATTGTCCTAAGGAAACAAACTAACGTTGAGTACACAAGGACTCCACCAGGGCAAACCAACTGAACAGCCTGATCAAACATTCTCCTTTGATATTTCGCATGGTTTCTTAATGTCTCAATCGTTTCCTGTATGCAAAGAAAATGAGCATGTTTCATGTAGTTTCATATGCATGATAGAACCTGCAGAGAAAAACAAAAGGCCCAACAATACAGAAATCAACCAGAAAAAACAAAAAAACCTTCGAAAATTCAAGAACCAATCATACTCGAAAAACAAAACAGAATCAAATCACGGTAACATACCAGCTGGTTTTGAGTAACAAGAGAGAGATTTTTTGGATTTTCTTTCCTCAAGTAGAATCTGATTAACTTGATTGAAAGCTTAATGGAAAAAATAAACGAGGAGGATGAGAACATTGAGAAGAGACAGAGTCTAAACTCTAAAGTGGGCTAGGGTTTGAACTTGAAAGTTGAAATGGTGTCGTTCATACTTAATTGTAAGATATATCGGTTCGGTTCGGTTTGGATCGGTTTCGGATTTCCAAATCGAAACCGAACCGAACCGATCGATTTTAAAAAAAATCCAAACACACTAATTCGATTTCGGTTTTTTTCGGTTTTCGGTTTTTTGGATCGTTTTCGGTTAATTTTTTGGATCGGATTAGATTTGAACACCCCTAATTTTAACCACTAATAATTCATGTGTTTCTCAAAATCTCATATTTAAATATTATATATACATATCTATGTAAAAATACATGTCATTTTGATAAATAAAAAAATACTCTCAATCCCATTATTTTTGTCTCATTTTGATTAAGCACATAGTTATAAGAGATGAGTTTAAATATATGTTAAGTTATTTAAAATGAAGAAAATGATAAAAATATTCTAAAAAAATGATTAATAGATTTAACATACTTACTATAAAAGAATAAAACAAATAAGAGTAAAAAAAATATAAATGTTGTTCTTTGTTGACTTTTTTAATAATAAATTTTGAATGAAACGATTTAAAATTAGAAATGGATAAATTTAATGGGACGAAGGAACTAACTATTGTAATATTTAAGTATAAGAAATCATATATTTCAATTAATTTGCTCCAAACCGAACTATTTTAATTATTATTATATGTAGGGACAAAGTTATGTATAGTCCAGGGGCCACAGTCTCCTAATTTTTATCATTAAAAATATATAGAGATAAATATTTGTTTAGACATTCAACTTTTGATTTATTTTAATTTTATTTTTTATTATTAGTTATATTTTATTCTTTTAATTTAGAATCCTGATTCTCTCCTTGATTATATAATTTATACGTAATTGTGAAGAAAATTTATCCCACATGTGATGTTTGGTAGATGAGGTTAGCATTGCATGGTTCCTAATCTTAAGGATTGAGAAAAAGAGAAAATCTCATTTTAGGTCGGCAAAAGTTTCACATGATTAGCCTTTCTCTGCTCTTTCTTTTCCCTGTTGTACAATAATGCGATAAAATCACATGAATAAATGGTCAGAGTTTTATTCTTTAATTTGGGTTTAATAAACATTGAAACAGTTTAACAAAATAAAAATAAAGAAACGTTGAAACATAAAAAATGCACCCTAAAACCTTAGCTTGCTATCGATGGGCCTTAATGAGGTAAGTTGCGGCTCCTAAAAAAGGCTTAAAAAATGGTGTTACTAGTTAAACAAGTGATCGGTTAAAATTTAGATCGGTTATGTTATATCATTTAACCGAAAATATTATCAAGCACAATAATATATTAGGTAGCGCTTATATAATGTAATAGGTAGCGCTTATATAATAAAATAGGCATTTAACCGAAAATATTATCAAGTAAATAAGCGCTTATATAATGTAATAGGTAGCGCTTATATTGACTTATTTTCTCATAAAACCGGTAAATTTAAACCGGTTACATTATAAATTGACATATTACATTATAAATATAGATTTCGATATTTTCGGGATCGATACAATTTTAAATGTATCGACACTTTATGCGTACAACTCGTTTATGCTTTATTTTGGAAAAAAAGTATGTGTCGATACATAATGTATCGACACAAATTAAAAAAGTGGCGATACTTTATGTTGACCTATTCTCTCATAAACCCAGTATATTTCTACCGGTTACATTGGAAATTTACCTATTACATTATAATTATCGGTCTCTTTGATTTTGGGATCGATAATTGTTATAAATGTATCGACACAAAATCTAACAGTGTCGATACTTTATGTTAACCTGTTTTATAATTAAATGGTATATGTATATTGGTTACATTGTCAATTTACCTATTACATTATAAATATTTGTCATTAAAATAGTCTAATTTTACCACCTACATTGTAATTTTACCTATTACTTTAAAGTTATTGAATTCTATAATTATTATACATACCTGAATATGTCCTGCAAATTTAATGTTGTACCCACCCTTCAACTACCACCACTACCAATACCATATCCTATTGAAGCACCACTGAAACATGTTGTTCAATGAACCTTTACGTACATACATCTCCATCAACTCCTGTTGGGACCACTGAAATTGCACAACAAAAATTTTGCCATGGATCATACTGATGCAGACAATGTTAAGCCAACCGAGGAATGCCATAAAGTACATAATGTTGATGAATCTAACATATTGGTTGGTAAGCTCTTCTCTTCACGTGATCAAGCTTGGTACTTTTACAAGGAATTCGCACGGGAACATGGGTTTAGTGCACGTTGGGGAACAACACGGCTTGACAAGTAACGGCAAACTAATTTTTAATTCTACTTACAAAATCACCAGTAGCCCCGCTAGAACCGATCAATTCTATCCACATCATCACATAGATGCCGCAATCATATCCATTCAATTTTTCGGTCATCTTATGCTCCATGAATTTGAATCTTTGCAATGGACTTTCCTAGAGAGCCACATGCTTCTACCCAAATGTGTTTCTCATTATAACTATCTAATATTTTCATCTGCATTAAAAAAATATGAAGTTATGATCCAAACAAATTATGCATTATAATTTACATAATTTCCTTTCATACATACCAATCTCTTAGCATCATTCACTCTCTGTTTAGCTGCTTCAGATTTAAACAGACTATCATATACAGTTCCAACACGTTTTACCATATCCAACACCAACAGATACCAATGTGAATTATTGTAGTTTATTGTGATCATGATCTGTGACAAATTTCACACACAATTTGACAAAATTCAACATTATATATCCAAAAATATCATTTATGCCTATTCGTATCGTGTCTTACCTTCTCACAGTTGGTGAATTTCATATAGTTAGGCAACATGGCACCCCAAAAGCTCGCAATACCCTCAACATCACTGTTGTCCAATGCCTGTTGCAACATTTATTAATTTAACTCACCACTAAGTGGTATGGAATGTAGCCAATCATCCGGCCTGACATTTTATAATCGTAGCATACTATCCAGGTGAGCAAATCAATAACCTAACAAAATTAATTACACAATCAAAACATATTCAATATGTTTTTCTTTTAATTGATTTCTACTTACCACACCGCCAACCCATTCCATAGGCTTCAACGTTGCAACGTCGTTGGAAATACCTTCAAAATTAAATTTGTATTAAGACATTGATTATATTCTTAATATTATTTAATTTCATTTATTACCATTTCTAGTTTCCTCGGTCTATCCACCTTCAACTTCGCCATCACTCTAACCACCTCTTCCTTCCTCCAAGCACGGATGTGTGCCACTCCGTGTCTTTCATAATCCGACAAACTATCATAGCCAGACCAATAATCGAACAGTGAAACCTGAATTTATAATAAAATTAATCATTTTATATAATAACTATACCATCATTTTATATAAAAAAATATTCTTCAACTCAGTTACCTCTAAAATTGCTATGCACCTTTGAGGTATCTCTGGCTGCCCTTTTGAAAGGTGATTATTGATTCAATCAATCTCGAATGAACATATTTAGCCCAATTGAATTCGCCCTTCAAGCCTTCATCGCAAATGAGCTTCATATTGTCCTTGTCGGGCCTTCAGCTCATCCCCTCGGTAAGATCCACTTTTGATATCCTCTTAACTTCAGCATATGTCACCTTATGATTCAAACCATATTTGGAGGCAAGTGCTTTCCAGTTCTTACTCTTACAGACTTCTACAACACTTTTGCCTTTGTTTTGTACCCCCAAGACGGCTGCAGCAGTCAATACCCCCAGAGGGAATGAATAATCGCCATATTTAGCAATACATTGTTTGACATCAAATTGCTCTATCAAGGATCGACACAATTCCCTCCGAATTGGTCGATCATTTACTCCTATCAATGATCCAAACCCCATTTCACTCAGTACATTCAACTGATAATTCTTTTTAAGGTGTTCAATTAATGAATACACCCTTTTTATGCTGCACCTTGTCGACACATCCTACATTTTTTAACAATATTTAATGTTATTGTTCTTATATATCTTGTATCAACGTATTTACAAGTTTAATGAATACCTTCTTTTCATGTGCTTTCCTCCGTTCTTTGTATTCTTTACTATCATTCCTTGATTGTGTGATGTAAGGTTCCTTTTGAGCATCACTCATCGAATTCCATTTCGACCTCACATCTTTTATCACCTAATATTAAGCATAAACGTTTCTTAATCAATACATTAACGCTAAATAATACTCAATGTCAATTTCATTTTACATACCGAACCGCTGTGTGTGCCATCTTCCTTCATCATTTTGCATTTGGCCATACTGTCAACATTTAAAATTTGTAATTAATTTAAAGTTCCTCAATACTTTAATCCAATTACCATTTCAACAATAATAACAAAAAGAAATTGATACTTACTAGAAGTATATATATCCACCCTTTGGTTGCTTTCCACCCATTGACTTCATTTTTCCTTCATATATCAGTTTAAGCAAATCAAATCAAATACTTGTATACAAAAATTGATAACCACTCTTGTGGTAAAACGGTTGGTCTTCAAAAGAATTTGAATGGCCACTACAACAAGTGTCGGCACATTTATACAACCTAAAATATCATTTTCCACTATAATATTATATACAAGTATCAATGTTTATTTTCTACCTATAATA